GCATTAAGTTGTCAGTTTTATTATTTTATTTTGTTAACCTCACCGTGACGTCATTTCCAGTTTCTTCAGTTTCCGCTCTGTTTTGTTGGCTTCCTTTTGAAGCCGGGGGCCAACATGGCGGACTACGACCTGACCACAAGAATAGCTCATTTTCTGGACCGGCACCTGGTTTTTCCTCTGCTGGAGTTTCTGTCCGTTAAAGAGGTGAAAACATGAGTTTATGTTTTAACTCTGAAATGATCCTGAAGCTCGTTTTCAGCGGGACTTTTCCTGATTTAAACACGAGTTCAGCGACGAGTCACACATGCTAACGGCTAAAGGCTAGCRTTAGCCGCTAATCAGCACGATGCTGATTTAGCTTTGGTTTTTCTTAAACATAAAGATGTTTGATGTTTTAAAGTCACGCTTTTATATGTTTTTAGTGATTCTGTAAGAGTTTAAAGTCACATGAAACAGATATTATAAATGTTTTATTCAGTTCATGAAGTAAATGCAGGTTTAGATCTGAAACACGGAGCGGGTCTGTCATGATTTCCAGCTCGTGTTTTAGGGATTATGGTCATTATTAAATAATAAAATAATCCTAAACTCTGTTATTAAAGCTGTAAAATCAAACAGTCATTCAGCACATTATATTAATTAATATTTTCTCAGATGATAAGCAGTAACCATGCTTGTTGTGGCAGATCTACAATGAGAAGGAGCTCCTGCAGGGGAAGCTGGACCTCCTCAGCGACACCAACATGGTGGACTTCGCCATGGACGTCTACAAGAACCTGTACCCGGATAAAGAGATCCCACACTGTAAGAAACCCACCTGGACCCTTCAGATCCCGTTGGTCTGAGGAGACCCAGCTGTCTGCAGCTGCATATCCAACAGGAGGACCTTTAAAGCCTCAGACAGATGTTAAACTGCAGGATAATGTTTACATGCGGGTAAACACAGGTGACCAAAGCTGTCGTGTGTTTATGTTTCAGCTCTGAGGGAGAAGAGGAGCACCGTGGTGGCTCAGCTCAAGCAGCTCCAGTCAGAAACTGAACCCATCGTGAAAATGTTCGAGGACCCAGAGACCACCCGGCAGATGCAGTCCACCAGGTGGCAGAAAAATAAAATAATAAAATCCTTCTTTACTGTAACGATACGTTAAATAACCTGGAGCTGTTTCTGCAGAGACGGGAGGATGCTGTTTGACTACCTGTCAGATAAACACAATGTAAGTTTTTAATCCCTGTAATCTGACTGGTGTTTCTAAATCTGTGCAGCACCTTACACAGTTAGTTCTGCTTCTACTCTTTTTCACTTTCTTCTGCTAATTTTAGCTACTTCTTTAAACTAATTTTAGTTTTTTGTCTCRTTAAAATTCAGCTTTTGTCTCGTTTTTGTGCTTTTTTTCTGCCACTTTGTGCTGTTTGGGCTTCTTACAGATGATTTCTGCTATATTCAGCTACTTACTGAAATTTTAGCTAATGTTTAGCTGCTGTTAGCTAAAGTTAGCTTTTCTAAGCTAAATGCATTTTTTTGTAGCTGTTACAAATTTTTTCGACTGAGTTCAGAAAACTTGTGCTCTTTATGCTTCTTTATGCTAATTTAATAATTACCAGCTAATTTTTAGCTGTTTTACTGAAAATTTCAGCTGTTTTTTTAGCCTGGCTAAAAAATAACAATTAAAAAAATATTTCAGCTCTTTTAGTTACTTTACTACAAATGATCACTTTTATGTAATTTTCTAATTTTTTTCAGCTTTATCTGTTTTAGATATTTTTTTAACTTGGTGCTAATTTCAAATTGTGGCTGCTACCTTTAGCTTATTTTATGCTAATTGTAGCTATAGAAATGCTTCTTTCTGCTATTATTCTTGCTGCTAATTGTATAATTTTTCCTGTACGTGCTGCTGCTGCTGCTACATCTGAATTTCTCTGCGTGGGACAATAAAGGCTGTTTCTATTCTATTCTGCTTTTCTCTACTTTTTATGATTTTTTTCTGCTACCTAGTGTTATTTAGGCTTCTTRCAGATGTTTTCAGCTATATTCAGCTATTTTAGCTCTTAGTTTTTAGCTGTTTTCAACCAGATTTGTGCTACTTTTTACTGTTTTTCTACAAAGTTAGTTTTTTTCTTTTAGCTTTTCAAAGTGAGCTCACATTAACACTTTATACTAAATATTTTCAGCTGAAGTTTTCACAGGAAATATAATTTCTCTAATTTTTTTAATCAAATTGACTCAAAGTTAATGTTTTTCTCGTAGTTCCGTCAGGAGTACCTGGACACGCTCTACAGGTACGCTAAGTTCCAGTATGAGTGTGGGAACTACTCCGGGGCCGCAGAGTACCTCTACTTCTTCCGTGTCCTGGTAAGACAGTCCGCCTGTGAACTGGTCCTGGTCTGGTTCTGAGCGTGACGTGTGTGTGTCTGTGTGTGTGTTTGTCAGGTTCCCTCCACGGACCGGAACGCCCTGAGCTCTCTGTGGGGGAAACTGGCCTCAGAGATCCTGATGCAGAACTGGGAGGCAGCCATGGAGGACCTGACCCGTCTGAGGGAGACCATCGATAACAACGTGAGGATCTGACTGGAAGCTTTAAAGTGTCTGTGATGACAAGTTTTAGTAACATATGAAGGCTTTATTAGAAAGAGGACATTTATAAAATATTGCAAAATAAATTTCATGTTGCTGAGATGAACAGTTGTTGAGATATTTGAATGTGAAGTAACAGGAAGTGATGTCACAGGGGAATGTTTACATGTGAACAGAGCAGTGCTAACAGCTAACACAGACTGTAGAGAAGAATCTGATGTTTCTGTAGATTAATTTGAGTCTTATCAGAGAGATGAAGAAGAGTTTAAATAATATTGTTTCATTAAACAAAAAACAGTTTTATTTGTTAAAGAGTTCCCCTGTGATGTCACTTCCTGTTTCACTTTAGCTGAGCCAAGTTCAAAAGAAAATATGCAGTTATGAGACAAAATGGGTTAAATCGTGTGTGTTATTCCAACTTTCTTAATTGACTKTTTGTGTTTGAATAATATGCACGTCACTTTAAAACAAGTTAAACTGTGTGAAAAGATGTTTGTGTTGATGTGTGTGTTTGTGCGTCTGCAGTCGGTCAGCTCTCCCCTCCAGTCTCTCCAGCAGAGGACCTGGCTCATCCACTGGTCCCTCTTCGTGTTCTTCAACCACCCTAAAGGCCGGGACAACATCATCGACCTGTTCCTGTACCAGCCTCAGTGAGTCTGTGCTGCACCTCAGCTCAGGTAACACACCTGCACTCCTCTAACCTGCTGTCACACCTCAGGTACCTGAACGCCATCCAGACCATGTGTCCTCACATCCTGCGCTACCTCACCACCGCCGTCATCACCAACAAGGACGTCAGGAAGCGCCGGCAGGTTCTGAAGGACCTGGTTAAAGTCATCCAGCAGGTGGAGGGGCGCTGCTCACGTTTGTTGCATCACTTTGTGTGTTTGTGACTCATGAGTTGTGTTGTTGCTGCTGCAGGAGTCCTACACCTACAAAGACCCCATCACAGAGTTCGTGGAGTGTCTCTACGTCCACTTCGACTTCGACAGCGCCCAGAAGAAACTCAGGGAGTGTGAGTCGGTAAGAGCAGCTCCTCAGTCACCTTTCATCAGGTCTTTAAGGGTTAAAGTGATCCTGACCTGACCTGACCCTTACTTAACCTAACCTAAACCTGACCTGACCCTTACTTAACCTAACCTAAACCTGACCTGACCCTTACTTAACCTAACCTAAACCTGACCTGACCCTTA